CGCATGAGTTTTAAAGCGACCATAAAAACTTAACGGTTGCTTCTGGACCTAAACCATCTTTACCATGCTCAAGATGGCATATGAGACTACCAAATCGAGCTATAACACTACATCACCCTTTAACCCAATCTCTCACAATAAATTGCTAAACATATCAATGTCTAGTTGTTGGAAGACTTAAAATTTCTAAGTTTTTGAGCTGAAATTTTTTTCAAGTTCCATTTCTATACTATTAGAAATACCAGCTAGTAACATGATTTTTCTACAGCAAGTATTTCATTGTCATCTACAAAGTTTGTACTTCAAACTTTATTTAAGTGTCACATATATATTCTATAATATTTTTGTTCAATAAAAATCAGTTTCAAACCCTACTTGATATGCATGAACTATCGAATCAACTTTCGTTTAGCATTTTTATTGATCATTTTGAGTTACAGAAATTGATCTACACACTTTATCACATGCATTATCACAAAAACATGATGCTCATGACATAGTTTAGCAAATTGTTTAAGCGGTAACACTGAGGGTGTTACATTATATCACCAATATCCATGTTCTTCATTGCATTGACCAATTGAGTGCCTCTCACATCATCTAGATTCTCATCTTCCTCTTGGAAATCATTGGTTTCATCAAATTCCACATCATGAACCTTCTCAAGAGTACCACTAGCCAAATTCCAAACTCTATATGCCTTGCTAGTAGTGGAGTAATCAAGCAAGAAATATTCATCATATTTCTTTTCAAACTTGCTCAATCTAGTGCCTTTCTTCAATATGTAGCATTTGCAACCAAAACCCAAAAGTATGCTATGTTGAGCTTTCTTCCATTCAATAGCTCATAAGGTGTCTTCTCCATCATGGGGTGACAATAGAGTCGGTTGCTATAGTAGCAAGCCGTGTTGATTGCTTCGGTCCAAAATGAATGACTCACATTGTACTCACTCAACATTGATCTTGCCATGTCAATCAAAGTTCTATTCTTTCTTTCAACTAGGCCATTTGATCGTGGAGTGTACTTGGCCGAAAATTGATGCCTAATTTCAAACTCATCACACAAATCATCAACTCTTGTGTTCTTGAACTCACTTTCATTGTCACTTCTCACTTTCTTGATGGTTGTTTCAAACTCATTATGAATTCTCTTGATGAATGTCTTGAAGGTTGCAAACATATCACTCTTGTCAATAAGAAAGAACACCCATGTGTATCTAGTGAAATCATCCATAATCACAAATCCGTATTTGTTTTCACCAATGCTAGTGTATGTGATTGGTCCAAACAAGTCCATGTGCAACAACTCAAATGCCTTAAATGTGCTCATCATGCTCTTCTTAGGATGTGTGTTACCAACTTGCTTTCTGGCTTGACATGCACTACAAAGCTTATCTTTCTCAAATGTGACATCCTTCAAGCCTCTAACTAGGTCATACTTGATCAACTTGTTCAATTGTTTCATTCCACATGATCAAGCCTTCTATGCCATAACCAACCCATGCTAGATTTAGTGAGCAAACATGTTAATAATTGAGCTTCTCTAGCATTGAAATCAACCAAGTATAGATTCTCATACCTAAATCCTTTGAATATCAAGTTAGAGCCATCTACACTTATGATGTATACATCATCCACATCAAATATGCACTTGAAACTAAGATCACACAATTGAGTTACCGATAATAGGTTGAAGTTCAAGCTCTCTACTAGTAGCACATTAGAAATGCTCAAGTCATTGGATATTGCAATCTTACCAAGACCTTTGACCATGCCTTTACCATTGTCACCAAATGCGATATTATCAATCCTATTGCTCTCATTCTCATTGATTGAATTGAACATTCTTGAATCACCAGTCATGTGTTGTGTGCACCCGCTATCAAGCACCTAATGCCTTCTTCCGGCTTTATAATTGACCTACAAAAGAAAATCAATTCTTTTTAGGTACCCAAACTTGCTTGGGTCCTTGAATGTTAGTCACCAAAGGTCTTTGGTACCCAAATGGCCTTCTTCTTTGGGCCCATAATCGGTGTACCAATGAACTTAGCCTTCACACCATTGGCACCCTTAACAAGCATGTAGCAAGAATCAAATCTAATTGAGGATACATTAGGTTGCTTGTTCTTGTTAGTCTTGCAATATTGCTCTATATGTCCAACTTGCTTGTATCTATTGCAAAACCGACCATTGCCCTTCACAAAGCTAGCTTTGGGAGTGACAAAGGCTGCCTTGCCTTTCTTGGGGGTATAGCCTAATCCCTCTTTGTTGAGAGAAAACCTTTGGCTACCCAAGTACTTTAGCAAGCAGGCATCTCCACCATGGGCATTGCCTAAGGCACGGTGAGCTCATTCACCTCCTTCTTAGGGTCTCATTTTCCACCATTAGTGAGGCATCACAAGTGAAACCATCACTCAAATGTGAAGTAGAAGTAGTAGTGCTACAAGAAGGGTTAGTGGGAGCAACAACAATGGGCTTATAAAATGATTCATCAATAATATCACATGTTAGTCCCACATCACAAGACAATCACTTGCTCCTTCTTGGCTTTCTCCTTCTTAACTTGCTCGATAAGAGAGGAGTGAGCCTTTTCAAGCTTAGAGTGTGCTTTGCAGGTGTCGTGGGTCTCTTGCGCGTCGTGCGGCTAAGGCAGAAGGTGGGGTCATGGCTGACCCTGGCCTTGGCGTCAGGCCTATTCTGCTTGGCTTAGCTGGGGCTCGATCGTTCGGGCCTTCACTAGCTAATGTGTCGTGGGCTGCTCGGTCTGCTAACTAATCGGTGTCTTGAGACACCCGGGGATTATAACCCCGATAGTAGCCCTCGAGCGTTTTTACGATCACGGAGTGATCGTGAAAGCAATGTGTGCATATCGAATGTGGTTTTGTAGTTCGTGGCTTGTTCAAGCTTCGTCGCTCGACCCCTTGCGGGCTGGCGCGTTCAATGCGGTAGGTGGCCGTTGTGAGAGTCTCGATTTTTCTGAACTCACGCGGGCATCTGACATTGGCTATAACCTCCCATGGTTCGCCGCGCGGCGTGGGGATCTCAGGCGGTTTAGTCCGTCCCTAGCCTATAAATGGAGGCCTTTCTACTGTTTGAGGCACTCATGACCGTAACTATGAACTGTTCTTTTCGCCTCTCTGAGCGATTAAGTGCTCGAGAGAACGAGGAGATGAGGGAGGAAAATCTGAGGAGAGCCACGCGGCTCTCGTTTTGCGTCCCGCTGGGGGTCGCTGGTGATGCCCTGAAGCTGGTGGCGCCCCTTCGACAACTAGCGCTAGAAGGGGCCTTGCGAGCTGATGGGTGCGAGATAGCGTGACTGCCGAGTCAGGTCATACGCGACATCGGCCCGCTATCTCGTCGCTTTTTTTAGCCCCGAACTTCGGAGGTTTGGGTGCTCGAAACGTGCGACAGCCAGTGGAGTTGCCGGTTCCTCCCTGATTCCCACGTGTGGTCCGGTGCTGCGTCGGGGTCCCATCGGGGGACTATCCAGCGTCTGCCTGAGACTACTCGCAGGGAGGGAGGAGGCCGGAGCAACGCTGTCTTGTCACGCTTCCTGCGTCACACGAAACAGGATGATGACGTGGCCTGTAACCAGTCGTTTATATGATTTGGATGTGGAACATTTTGTTTCGGAAATGGGTTTTTTTTGCCGTATATGATTTTCGATCCGGATGAGTTTGTTTCTAAAACGGTTTTTTTGCCGTTTATGTTTTTTTCGCAAACGTTTTTTTGTTGTATTTGTTTTTTTGGAAATGGTATTTTTTTGGAAACGGTGATGTGGAAGAGTTTGTTTCTTAGACGGGAATGCGGAAGAGTTTGGTTTTTTTGTCGTACATTTTTTGCCGTATTTGATTTTTTTCGGATTGGAAACGGGGACATTGGTTTTTTTTACGGTGTTTTTTTTGCCGTGGGGCGGGGTGACGCTGACGATAGCTGTAGGGAGAAATAGTTTTTTTTTGCCGTATATGTTTTTTGCTGTATTTGGTTTTTTGGAAACGGTATTTTTTTTTTTTTTAAAACGAGGGATGTGGAAGAGTTTGGTTTTTTTTGCCGTACCTTTTTTTTTGCCGTATTTGATTTTTTTTGGATTGAAAACGGGGATGTTGGTTTTATTTACGGTGTTTTTTTTTTGCCATGGGCTGTAGGGATTTTTTAGGTGTAATAGATAGATGTTGTCGGTGGGTGACACGACTCCTATCTTTAGAGTGAATTGTACAGAAACAAGTCACCAAACAAACAACACCCTGTATTATTGTGTGCGGGCAATCAGTTCTAATAAAAAACAAAATGAGATAACAACATCTTCTAGCTATGGGCATGTAGATATGATTTGATATTTGAAAAGAAACATGTTTAGCTATGGGCATGTAGATATGATTTGATATTTGAAAAGAAACATGTTTATTCCTTTTTTTTAGGTTGTACATTTGGTTCAAAAGAAATCAGAGTTGTGCCACGTCACTTGCACGATCACGGACGCCACGCCGGCACCAACCGTTGCTGCTGCCAGGGGCTCAGGGCCCAACCAGCCGGCCAGGCGGATCGCTTCCTCCAGACAAGAAACCAGACATTGATCTCGTTCCCAAAATCAAACGCCCAGACAACACGGTGGCTGTGACCGTTTTTAAGGATCTTTAGAGATGCTCGAGCGGTGAACAAGGTACGCTCGTGCCTGGACATCTTCACAGTGCAAATGTCTCGGCCATTCACTCATCTCAACATCAGAGCATCTGCTTCGGTCTTCTTAAAAAAAAAGGCAAACGGTATGCACCAGTCCTACATCACAGCCAAATATGGGAAACGCAAAAGTGTCTTGTTCCAATTTCAATCCTTCTTTTAAGCAACACGAAAACATAAGCTAACCTACACCAATTCCATTAGCGTCAGGCTCCATTAACAAGAGTACACTGAGCCGAATAACACGGGTACAGAGTTTTAAAGAAAAGAAAAACACGGGTAGACTGAACTGAACGGTGCCAAAAATACAAATCATCTATCTATCTATTTTATAGAAAGGGTACCAGGGAACGCTTCCTCGACTTCGCTCCACTTGCTACCGATCGTCTCCGCCTCGAGTCCGTCAATCTCGTAGCGCACCTCCTCCATGTGTTCGTTTATGCTGGTCACGGCCTCCTGCACGCCCTGTATGGCCTCCTTGAGGGCGGCGTCATACTCCGCGTCTGCCTCGGCATCCTCGGTGCCGGCGGCCTCCGTGATCTCCTTGACGTGCACGCACACGTGCTGGGCCATGCTGCGCGACCTGCAGTCCTCGTGGTTCACCAGGCGCTCTGAAGGCCTGCCGGCTTTCTTCAGCACCTGAATCTTCGCTGTCTTCAGAAATCAGCGAACCAAACCAGGAAGGCCAGAGACAAATAATCAGCGATTGAAGAAAATGGCAATATGAAAGCTATAGAAGAAATACGAAGCAGATGATGGAAACAATGTTGCATGTTGAAAGCACAAATATCTTACATCTAAATTCCGGCCAGTACCACAGGTCACTCAGGAAATTACCCAAATAAGTCGAAAGATTGAGTAGTTAGACTACAATACAGCAATTTCAAGGGAACATTGGTCAGGGCCTAAGGCTGGTGTAGCTATCAGGTGCAATAAGAAGAGGTAGCAAACGTGGAACAGTTATCATGCCAAAAACAAAAATGCTTCACTTGTACAATTTAACACATGTTACTCTTAGCAGGGAAAATTAGACTAAGTTGAAATCATTTTATATAAATTCAAGTGTGTTATAATGTATTGCGAAAGAGGTAAAGCTTTGGTTTCCTTTAGGATTTAATAAAACATGGCCTGATATAAACCATGAGAAATGAAATTACGATCTCTGATGTGTTAATGATTCCTCCAATCACAGTATTCCTAGGCTAAATGAAATGTCAAAACACATCATTACAGTTTAAATGTGAAAGAATGAAATAAGTTTCCACTCTTAAACAAAATCTAGTTATTTTAAGGAAGCATTATTTCATGGCCCACATGGCAATACAACAAGCCCAACAGCCCAAGCTAACTTACCAAATGCAACTTCTCTTTCTCGTGTGCTTGAACACCCTTCAGTAAATCGGCAAGATCGTTACGACTAAATTCTGGCATTGAGAGCAGGGAAATTATTTCAAGGACCTGGAGAAAGAATTATTAGATGCTGCTTTTTATGGATAGGAAGAAGATGAGACAACTAGAGCTAACTTGTTTTGAGCAATCATTGAACTCCGCTGTAATATTGCCACACAGTTGTTGATAGGCCAATTCACCTCCATTAGCCATGTACTCAGAAAAACCCCTGCTATATAGTATTAATGAGCCAATGAGAAAACAAAATGGTAGGCTTACATAAAAAACTACTGTCATCAAGTACTTTTCACACAGAGATATGCAGATGTAGTCACCAGAATTATAGATGACTAAAAAAACTTTGACAAAAATGCATAACCAAAGTGCCTAACAATTATATTTCTGACTGAGTTACGGAGTACTATACTTACAATTAAAAAAAACACATTGATAACATTTTTCAATTTACCACTTGCACCATTCTAGCATGGAAATATAGTGACAGCGCAAATTCCTTTTGCTAATATTCCCAGAAATGTTTTCTCTTTTGTGAATATATTACATGCCAGATAGCTAAGTTTCTAGCGGGTTCAAAGCAAAAAGACATTCTTTATGGCTAGATCAACAACCGCAAGACCAAGAAGCTTATGTAGCTACATAACACCAGACCTCTTTGCATAATAGGTCTGAACATTATAAAATTCTGTTGGGAAGCATACATACACATTGGAATCATAGAAATGCATTCAGCAGTGCTCCTGATGGGAAAAGAAACTACCAAATGAGCATTCCGCACATACTATTGAATTGTACTATGTATACTCCTTTGTGTACAATTGGTAGTAGATCAAAACGTAAATGAGCCTTATCTAGTATCGAGGAGACTACTGCAAATTGAAAACAACTGAACCCTTCTAATCATCTATCCCTTCCATCTCAAAATTTCGTCCAAGCTAACATGACATCTGATCTTCCTACATAGGCCAAGTTCTCATTTAAATTGGCACAAAACATCTAATTTTATGTCCGAAGAATTTTAGGCCTACTATTATGCTCTTTCTTTGAACAGCAAGAAAACACTTGATGCACAATGGACAACTTTGGAGGATTCAATGCTAGAAACTTCCTATATCCTAAGAGCATCTCCACCAGATTGAGAAAAACCAATCCCCTTTTCCCTGTAACCAGCAATGAAAGGGATTGAAGCAAAAAAACAAGCTCCAGCAGATCCCCTTTCCCTAATTTTTTTTCTCAAATCTCTCAAAATCTCACCTTAATCCCTCAAATGAAGGGGAACAACCACCATTTTTCTCAATCTCCTTTCTTCCTCCTCATGTCACTAACATTGTGGGTCCACAGGATAGGAGTGCCTTTGATCCACCAGCACGTTGAGCGGGCGAGCACACGGGCCTCCGTGCCGCTGCCACCACTCCGGGTGGTCAAGTGCGTGGGTCGGCTGCGCCACCGCCACATCAGGCAGGCGAGCACGCGGGCCCGGACCATGCAAGCACCGAAAGAGATGGGAGGGAGAGGGAAGAGAGAAGAGGAAGAGAAAGGGAGAGAGTTGCCATGACATGTGGGTCTCATGTACATATAGGGGATGGATTTTCTCAATTGCTGCAGAAGCCCTCCCCTATAACCTGGAATTCAGTTTTATTAATCCACTATAAGGGATTTTAAGGGAAAGGGAAGCTTAACTAAACATTACAGATTCTAAAGGTTTGTTTGCTTAGCTGTGGAGAAACTATTTTGAGCTATGAAAAAGTTGGTGTGAGCTATGTGCTGTGAAAAATTGTAAGTTGTTTGGTTGAAACAACTATAAAACCTACACCATCTCTTTATTTCCCTTGAAACAGCTACAAAATATTAAAATGTCTCACTGTTTCCACTTATTTGAGAAAGTTGAAAGCCAAAAGAAGGGTTCAAGGTGCTGTGAAAATTGAACTACGTGAAAGGAGTTTCTCAAAGATCCTATTTTAAAGAATCACACGTAGAGATATTGCTAGTACAGAAGCACTTTCCAGAAGGTTGAGCTTCTGGTTCTGAGCAGAAACACTTTCCAGAAGCTGAACCAAACACAACCTAATACATGGTGCAAGGATCCAAAGTTCAAACTTACTCCCTCCGTCCCTAAATAACTGTCGCTTTTGGTTTTCGTGCCGTAAGTTTGGCTGGATTTGTAGAAAATACGTGCAATATTTATATCTCCAAATAAATTTATTATGAAAATAGATTCAACGATCTATCTAACGATATTATTTTTGTACCATAAATATTAATATTTTTTTATATATTTAGTCAAAGTTATTTCTCGGAAACGAAAACGACGGTTATTTAGGGACAGAGGGAGTATGTTCCAATCACAATGATCCACTAAGACTAAAATAATAACTACTCTAACCACCCAACAAGTAAACTCAAATCCACACTCCACACCAGCAACACAACCTAAAACTACGAACATAACGGATGGATATCCGTGCAATGTTAATGCCAGAACTTTTCCAATTCTGGCAGGAATAGAACTGTTTCCTATGAACCTTTGAAACAGGGCCTATACTGTATCGACAACCACGTTCAAGGCTAGCAAATAAAATGCTACAAAATCATATAAGAACTAGAGTCCCAGCCCAATCTGGCCTACAGCACTACACAGTCACACGTCACCAGAAATCCCTCGTATGATCATTAGGGTTTATAGTTCAGAACCGGGGCGGCTGGGCCGCACCGGAGAACGACGGCGGTACCTTCGTAGCGTGGAGTAGGCCTCGGCCCGGCGCTGCTGCACGGCGAGGAATCCGCGAAGCAGGCCCACCAACGCGGCCGCGCTACGCCGCTCGCCGCCGGTATCTGCGTCCATGGCGGCCTCCTCGGCGGCGGACGCGGCTGGAGTCGGTTGGTCCTCCGCCATATGGTCCCCGTTGCTCGGCTCCATCTCCGCCATAGCTTCTCCGCCTCACAAGGGGAAGGAGTCGAACTCCCAACTCGCTTTCCGTGTTTTTTTGAAACCGCTTATACAAGAATCGTTTATAATCTAATCAAGATATAAGCTGCGATCAAAAAAATCTTAGCAATCAAGGATATAAAAAGACATATCTGCCCCTGACTTCCTCGGCCATCTTACGGAGCGAGGGAAACCGGAAACGGAGTCGGATGGGGAGCGGAGTCGGAAGGGAAGCGGAGTCGGAGCGAGGGAACTGAGTCAGAGGGGAAGCCTGCGACCGAGCGCCGATAGAAGCAGCGGAGTCGGAGGGGAGCTCGAGCGGAGATGGGGAAATGACGGAAGGCCGCGAGCGAGCGGAGACGGAGAACTGACCGAAGGCCGCGAACGAGCGAATGGGAAGCGGTGGCGGCGGCGGCGAACCCTTTGATCGCGACTCGCGAGCGGAGGGGTATCGGGTGGAAATCGTCTCGCGGCGGGGAAAACGCGGCCCTCCCCCGCGGTAAAGGCAGGGAACGCGGCTGGTAGTAGTGTTTGGTTTCACCTCCCGCTTATCTCAGAATATAGAGGTGCTTGGGTGGGATTATTGGTTATTTTTGTCATGATTCTGATTTTAAGCGGTCCTATGTACCTTCGCCGCAGCGTCGGGACGACGACGGATCGTTCGGATTATTAGACTAAATCTTGAATCGGGAGACACTTTTTATGCCAAAACTGCAACGGGTTCGGATCGACGGCTGCGGAGATCACCCGTTGAAAAGCTATCTCTCGCTTGTGTTAAGTAGGCAGGGACTCGATTTGTAGCAGTAATAAGATTATTAACCCTCATGCAGAATAAATCCCTGCCTCCTCCGCGCTCCAGCTCCTGTTCAGACTGTTCATGAGTTTGCCGTTTAGTGTTCCATCAGTTTTGAATAGTCCCCAACTAACTGTTGTCCATCCATTTTTTACTGGACATCCGTTTTTACTGTTCATTGATATTTTAGCACCACATTTTTACATATTTCCCGTTACTGTTCGCGTGTCTTCAAGAGTGGGCGCAGCGGCAGCGCGCCTACCGGGCTAGCACTTCTTTATGGGGAAAAAAACATCTCAGCTTTCGGCTAGCACTAGCACTTCGTAAATTTCCGTAGAAACGCTTTTTCTCTCATGGGGAAAAAAACATCTCGGCTCAGTCTAGCTCGTTGGGATATCTAGCTCAACTCGGCTCGGTATCCTAATAACGAGCTAAAAGTTAAATTTGGTTCGGCTCGTTCTCTGCCTCGAGTGAGCTCGTTCAGTTCACAAGGTAAAGCTAACTCATGCTAGAATAAGAAGAGAAAGTAGCACTTTGATTCGATTCGATTACAATAAATAAACAGAAAATGTAGAACAAGCAATTAATCATCTAAAAAAGTGAAAACTGAGGCTTAGACAGGGGACATTTTTTTCACCTTTATTGTTTAATTTAGTGGGAGATACTCTATCTATCATGCTGGATAGAACCAAAAGCAATGGTTTATTTAAAGGCCTTGTGCCACACTTAACAGAGGGAGGCTTAACTCACCAACAACTTAGATTTAATTGGTATCGTAGGGCTCTCAACATAGGAAATAACCTTCCAGTTCTCACTATACGAGTCTCGAGTCAGTGGATGACACTCGATTTAATAAGTAAATTAACGCAGCTAACCCCTACATCTCCCGTGTAGAAATAACATACTCTAAGCGAGATCATCTACGACACAATTGCGTCTTTATCAAATGAACTGGTGTTTCACGCGCCAAAGACAGATCAAAGTCTCGGGTAAAAATGGAATACAGCCACACCGCATGACATTCCACACCACATATCATCATGCACAATTACATGTAATTATAAATTATATATATGGTTCCTAATTCAACAAAACATATATATCATCTGGTTACTGTCCGTTTGAAGCTGCAAAGCTAGTGGAAGCAGGGCGCGGGCTCCCACGTTCCACCACCACCTTGCCACTCCCTCCTTGCGGGCAACACTCTCCCTTCTCTGAGAATTGAACAGATTGCCGCCATTGTATACAATTTACAGAAGAGAGCTTTCTGCCGCTATATGCATCACTTGGACCTGGTAATGTATGCATTTCGTACTTACCTGTCTCAAATGCAAACACGCCTCAACCGGCCTTGCCGAGACATTAAACCAAGGAAATAATCAAGTCATATTGGATCATCCATGCACCATGGCAAGCTAACTAATCTGCCACTTCGGGGCCACGGATTCTATCAATCAGTGCTAGAACTCTATCTTTAACTGCTTTTAAACAAGGATAAATTGTGATCACAATACACTGAAAAGCACTATTGATTTCCTGAACAAATAACAATGTCAAATGACATTCCAAAAAGATTACATTACAGAAAGTAAGAATTATGTATACCATAAAGAATTCAAGCAATAATGAAATGACAACATGACAATTCCACAATCTATACCTAAGCATAAATAGAGGTAAGTTTTCAATCAAGCAATAAGAACAAATAGTTTTGGTGGTTATAAAAAGAAAACGCTTACTAATAGTTCTCAGCCAACACAATAGATTGTTTCTCTGAGTAATTTCTACCAAAATACTCCCTCCATCCCAAATTATGTCATTCCAATTTTTTTAAAGAGTCGAAGCATCTCAAGTTTGACTAAATTTATATACTAAAATAATACTCCCTCCATCCCAAATTATAAGTCATTCTAAGAATCTTGAAGAGTCAAAATTATAGAAAAAATTATAATTTGATCAAACTTGAGATGCTTTGACTCTCTAAGATTCTTGGAATGACTTATAATTTAGGATGGAGGGAGTAACATTTATGATACCAACTAAGTATCATTAGATTCTTCATTAATTATATTTTCATAGCATACCTATTTGGTGTCATAAATCTTTATAATTGTCTCTATAATTTTTATCAAACTTGAGATGCTTTGACTCTCCGAGAAAGTTGGAATGACTTATAATTTGGAATGGACGGAGTAATACAAAAGCCTTTGATTTACGAAGTGGCATTATCATAATCTAGTGCGCTCATGCAAAGGAGTATGTCAAATTAGCAATGAACCTTCACATAAAAAAAAACAATGAGGTTCATAACAAAACAGAGGTTCCCTTTGCCGACAATGCACAAAGTCAGATGGTATACAACAGTGTGCACCTGCCACATAATCATAATCAATTGTCCGGTCAGATATGAGAAAGATAAGCTATACCAAGAAGATCATTCCAGCAAAAAAAGGCCTAGCAAGTAGCAAAGTCCTAGCAAGTAGCATTTAGTAGCCTCTCTTTCAATACCATAAACAAATATTTCACTTGAACCACTCCCTCTATCCCAAAAATAATGCAATTCTCACTTCCTGAGAAGTCAAACAATTTCAAATTCGACCAAATCTATATGAAAAATTACTAACACTTATGATACCAAATAAATATCATTAGATTAGTTATGAAATATATTTTCATAGCAAACCTATATTTAAAGAAAGTTTGACTCATCTCGAACCTACAATTGCATTCTTTTTAGGACTGAGGGAGTAGCAAACATTCTCAACTTTGACATTTTGTCCACATAAAGCACATTATTTGCAAACTAGGGAATATTATTTTAGATATAAAAAAAGAGAAATATCAACTTTGTTAAGAAATAGACCTGCATTGCCTGCAAATTAGGATGGCAACTAAAATGACACTTGTCAATGCAGAGTACAAATTATGTTTAAACATAACAACAGCTTTATGGTACAAAAAAGAAAAAAAAAGGTGAAAACAGAAACATAGTAAAATCCACAATGTTTTACAGCAGTCTTGCAAGCCACATGATCGCCTCTTTAAAAACCATACATATAAAACAAGAAACCATTGTCGTTAAATAGCTCAGTGCTTTAAACCCACAGGAAGTCTTTTACAACAGTTTTGCAAGCCTTAAGTAGGCCTTTTTGAAAACCATACAAAAACAGTAATATCTTTAAATACCGCAGTGCTTTAAATCCACATTAAGTCTTTTACAATAGTCTTGCAGCCATAAGATGTCCTTTTGAAAATTGAAATAGTTGTACAAAGCACTGTTTCGTTTTGAAATGATAGGTGGAGGGAACTAAAGTTCCTGTGAAAACTTTGACCACAGGCATAACTGAGTAGCCAGAAACAGCTTAAAACAGCAAGTTTATATAAGTGCCAAGCAGGAATATGTAGAAATCATCTGGCCACAGTAAAATAGTTATAACCATCCTGTCAAATAGCAAGATAGATTAAAATAAGTGAAACAGTTCTCAAAGATAGTATTTGTGTACAAAGACAACCTTCCCAATAAAGCATAACTGTGGTTTGTGGTCTGGGCTGTCAGTTGAAAACAAGTAATACAAAAATAGGTTGTCAATGCATACGCACTATCTGCATGGCAAACAAAATAGTGCAAATTGGAGACACATGAAAACAATAAGACTTGTCATGAAACTAATTTATGCTTGCAAAGTGCAAACAAAATTTGCCTGCCAGGCATACTGTACGCCAATAACTGAACTAATGTACTACGATGAAGGTTACACGTTAAATGAAGGAACAGCAAAACTGACTCACATGAAAACTGTAGGACTTGTCACAAACCTCAAATATGTAGATAATGAACTACCGAGGACACTGTACAACCAGATGAATAAATACCTCAAACCTCTAGCTAATAGCACAGCTATCCCATATAAGCGGCAAACAGCAAGACACTAGACAATTATTGAAAAATGAAAATACTTCGATGAAGACACTAATAGTTCTCAGGCCATGAATGTAAATTTCAAACTCTAATCCCTGACATAGAAACTGGCCGTTTCAGAAAACTAAACCTGAAAAGATAACTAAATTTCTACTGGGGACATGCTAATTATCATCATAAGTACCTGGTTAACCAGAAAAAAATCTAACCATGAAAACAATGAAATGAAAGATTACTTTTATACAGCAACAATAACGAGGATAGTGGTGAGTCTAACATCTATGGACATGCAAAACCAATTTCCGTATCAGAATCAGAACAAGTAAAATCGCAAGGTTTCTTTTTATGCAAAACAAGTTTCCTGCAGTTAGATGCATCTACCTGCCAAATCTTACCTAATGACCCATGTAATTTCTTCTGGGGCCTCCTGAAGCAGCACCCCCATACCCACCAGAACCACCATAACCACCCATATAACCACCTTGCATCCCCGGCACACCGCTACCACCCAATGCTCCAGTTGCCCCATGCGGAGGCAACCCTGATCCATTAGCACCGACCCCCAGAATGCTATTCAAATTCAGCCCAGCCCCCTGCTGGGTGGCAAGCAAAGCTGTCAAGGCCTGCCCCAGAGCAGGATCCACGCCTGGGGCAGCAGAAATACCACCAGGCAGTGAAGCCAATCCAGGTGCCAGAGGTGACATTGGCTGGACAATACCAACAGTTCCGTGCAGAGAATGACTAGTAGCTCCATAACCAGCAAACCCCTTGCCCCCACTTGAAGCCCCAGCACCAAAAAAGCCTCCAGCTCCTCCTAATTTACTCGTCTTTGGTCCATCAATCGCCTTCTGACAGTGCAGCACCACTCCGTCAAAATGCTTATGTGGCTCCTCAAGAGCCTTCTTGGCACTTTCAATGGTCTTGTAGACAAAAAGAGCAAATCCCTTGGGTTTCCCAGTGACTTTGTCAAGCCCAAGCGGGCCTTCCTCGATCTCACCATACCTTGCAAAGAACTGAAGCAGTTTGTGCGTATCGATATCTGCACCAACATTGCTGACAAATATCTTCCGTTGCGTATACTCTGACACTGGTGGCAGCTGCAATTGAGCCGGGGCTGGCACAGCGCTGTTGGCCGCACCACCAGGGACAGGGCCAACAGAGGCGAGCTGGCAGGCGGTGCTGCGGTTACCAATCTTCTTCTGGGGCTCGCGTAGCGCGGCTCGGGCACCAGAGCGGTGACGGAAGAGGATGAACCCGTACCCCTTGCACTTGCCCGTGTTGCGATCGGTGACGACCCTGAGGTCCTCGATCTCGCCGTATGGGCCGAACGCCTCAGTGAGGGTGTCGGTTGTGGCGTCCCAGCCGAGACCGTGGACGAAGATCTTCCGCTGAGCCGGGTCGGCGTCGGCCACGTGCCGGATGGCGGTTAGCACGTCGCCGTGAGCGACGGCGGCGTCGCGTAGCAGCTCGACGAGCTGGTCCTTGGGGAACGAATCCAGCAGCGCCTGGATCGAGGCCGGGTCCCTCTCACCCTCGCCATCCTCCTCTTCCACTTCCACTTCCTCCTCGACCTCCACCTCCTCCTCGATTTCCTCCTCTACCTCCTCCTCGCCGCCTGCCCCCTGGGGCAGCTTCTCCTTGGCCGCCTCAGCGGGGGCAAGAACCTCGGATAGACCGGCAGCCTTAGCGGTGGCGGACCTGTTTGCAGCGGCCGAGGAGGCCTTGGTGGTGGTCGGGGAGGCCTTAACCGGCTTGACGGCTGCCGCCGATTTGGGCTCGAGCTTCCGCTTCTTGCCCATGGCGACGGCGATACGGCGTGGGAAGCCGGGGATTGTGCGCTAGGGTTTCGATGGATAGGGGATTTGGGGAGACGATGGGACGACTTCGCCGTCTCGTACGGGTAGTTAACGGCGGCGTCGGACGGGGCTGTCTGTGCATCCTGTGTCCTGGGCCTGAATAATGTAAGAAAGGCCCACCAACAGAATTGGAGTTAGTTTTTCTCTTCTTTTTTTAGGGGCGGTTCGGATTGAAGAAATTTTGGAGGAAAAAAAATACATGAAATGTAAAATGGAGAAAAAAAAAATTCTTTCCTTTGAAATACTGTTGCCAGCCTACCATTTCGAAGGAAAATAAACATCCACTCTCACCCTTGTTTTGATTTCCTTCATGATGTTTGAGGTGGCCTGCTAACTAAAAATATATTCCCTCACGGTGTGAGCAACGGAGCAAGCATGCTGTAAGCATGTTGAGAAGCATTAATGAGCCATCTGTGTATATTTTCTGTGTTATTCCTGTTTGCTCGTTCCTATGATTCAATTCTTTTTTTTTCCTCGAAAGCTATAACTAAAAATATATTCCTCTTTGCCGGTTGGAACTTGTCTTTTGGATAACCATCATTGGTAAGATCAGCAAAATCGAAATACTAGTCTAAGGAAGTCACATTCCTACTTCTGTTTTATTAGTTCCTCGAAATCCTCTACCAGTCATTAGTTTCAAAGCAAAGATATCAAGACAGGTTAGTGTTTCCATAGATGCTTGTGGTAAGTGCAAAGCATGACGAAAATTGTGGGCTATGGAAATGTTTGAGTGTTTAGCCAAATCTTACCTCGTCTAAGTAGCAAAAAGATCAAATATGGTTAAGTGTTTGGATGCGGCTAAAAAACAGTCGTGCGTGCGTTAGGCACGCATGGCCGTCTTCAACCTCATGCCCCCCCTTCCTCCTCGTCAGTGGTTGCACTAGTACCTCGTCCTTCGGCCCTAGTCGTCGCCCCCCGCCCGGACACGGTGCGCTAGGGTTTGGCCAGAGCTCAAGCGTCCGGCTGCAGCCCAGAGAGCTCGGCCAAACCCTAAGCGTGCCAAGATGGGGCCGCCCTCCCCTCCCCTCGTCGAGAGCTCCTCGCCTCGACTTGGCCCACCCTTGCATTGCCGCCAGACCCCTAACCGCCCTCCAACCATCCCTGCCGCTTGACCGGCCTTCCTCCCCCAAACCTTCCCTTCTAAGCCCATCGGAGTTATGGTAGATGAGAGGAAGAGCTCACTAGAACCCTAACTCGGAGATCCATGAGGAGGAGGAGGAGGCCTACCTCGTCGGATCCACCATGGCCCCGTCGGATCCGCCGAATCCCCCATGGCTGGCACTGGGGGAGGAGCTCGCGCGGGTGGGGGCGTGGGCATGGGAGGAGGTCGTCAGGGAGGAGCTCGTTGGTCGCCAGAGAGAGAGAGAATGCGGGTGCCGGGAGTACGGGAGTCGGTGGGATGTGAGTGTGCACGGGCTAAAAAAAACTGCAGTGCGTATGAAAGTCTTTACCTAAGTGTTTAGATTGTTGAGGTTTTTTGTTGCCATCTCAGGCTACCTAGCTCCCTCACTATGGCAAGGGCTAGTTTGTCCTAGTGAGACAAGATGAGGTTATTTGATCTATGGGCCTGTTTGGTTGTCTCAATTAGTTTGATTTAAATCTGTGCAGTGCATTTACCTATATTAGGTTACTTATCGAGGTTCTTCTATAGACTTGTACAATGTTCAAAGCACATCAAAATACAATATTAGTTAGTATGCCAGTTTTAGTTATATTAAGCGATGCGGATTTTCACGAAAGGCACAGTTGATTAGACAAACAAATATAAAATATATTCTCACCTTCCTTACATCTGCTAAAACATAAAGCCTCTAATAGACCATACAACCATAGAGAATACTACATGCCACATAAAAAACAACCAAATATTATTTTACCAAACATATCTTGCATGTACAGGACAATTGCATATTGCCTTGGATTATGCATTTATGTTGTATAATATCTAATTGAAGCTAAGGCTAATGCAAGCAACCAATCACCATATATGCCTATATACTTGACCTTGATCGACTAGGTAGAAAGCAAATACCTTCTCCGCTCATATATCCTTGACTGATGAGGCAAAAACTATACAGCCGTCCGTTCCCGTTCATAAATACTTTTCAACAAAATATGATCAGATTAAATATTTAGTTTGAAAATACTAAAGATGTATTTCTCTTAAAATATACTCCATCTTAGAATATATTTACTCCGTTCTAAATTGTGAACCGTCTTAGATTTTCTAGATACACAGTCTTTAGAGTTTGATTAATTGCCTACATTAACCTACAGCCAACCATGTGCAATGCAGTCTGCCCATGATTTTTTTATTAGACAATGTAAATTTGCATAAATTGTTGGAAACATAAAATAAAGTATGCCACATTCTTTATTTTTACTATAAATATGAGAACTCTAATAGAACATATAAGGTGACTATATGCAATAAAATATAAACAAATAAATATAATTTTATCATGCAGGACAACAAAACACAAAGACAATTTATATGTTGACTTAAATTGTGTTGCATAAGGTCTGTTGACTTAAATTGTGTTGCATAAGGACTAATGCAGACTAAGTCTAATATAGGCAACTATATTGTATAGTTACTTAGTTAGAGGTACATAGCGCCCTGTTCGTTTGAACTTATCAGCCATGAAACAGTGTTTTTCTTTCACAATAAATCAGCTTCAGCCGGCTTATCAATCGTACAAACCATCAGCTAAACAGCCTAATTTGAATACAATTTGAAATAGAGAAAATATTTCTATATGAAGCCGTTCGACTGATGGTTTCTGTAACTGATAAGTCGGTTAAAGTTGTTTTGCTATGAGAGAAAAACACTGTATCATAGTTGATAAGACAGACTGATAAGTTCAAACGAGAACAGGGCATTTGTTGGAATTTAAAAATACATTACAATAGAAAAATAATGATTGAAGGCGACATCCGTGACCATGTCTTGACCGGAGTATGTATGTGTTCATGTATAGCTTCAATGGAGTTACCAACGCAAAGAAAAATCTTTCAGCTAGTACGAACACTGTTATTAGCACAGATCAAACAGGCTGCACCATAAAAAGGGTAGTCTTGCAACATGATTCTCCCGGGTTACCACGTTAGGGCAAGATTTACAGACTCCAAGATGTGCAACATAAACAGGCGATAAAAATCAAACACCTAACATGGGAACCTAAAAGTAGCCTTGAGACAACCACTCATTAAATCGATCTAAGCTCCTTTAACACTCAATTAGAGCTTCTTGGTTCAAAACATTCATTGGTCAAAGTTCGAGGCACCAAAAAAGGAATAATCTGGGTCTGCTGATGATCCTAGCAGAGGAATGTACTCTGAACCTCTCACATGAACACTGAAGCAAGCTGAAACACAAGCATATGCAGAAGTTAAATGTTTCTGAGCATGTAATGACTATCTTTAAAAAAAATGCTAGCAATTGAACTAATCAATATCAAATATCAAATATTAAAGAATGGATGGAGTGCAATACTAACAAACTGGAAACACATGCCTAACACGATAGTATCACGGTATCGCAGATATGAATATCTTTCAGAAAAGCAAGCAGAAATATGGACATCTTTCAAAGAAGCTAGCAGGAATGTGGGCATCTTCTAAAAAAAATATATAGCAGACTAAGGACACCAAATGTTGCATTTCAAATATTTCACATTTGGTTACTAGTCATATTGCAAAAAGAAAAGGTAACATAACAAAAGGTAGTGACTAGGATAACACTAGCCAACAAGAACAGAGTGCAAATATGTTCTCAGAAATTTAAGCATGTGAGGTAACTACATATGGACCACTGAATCTATAACTCTTATAAAGCAAAACCCCACTACAATATTTTTCTGCAATTCTGTGAAGCCACGTCATCTCAAAGCCCCACCAAGTCACTAAGCTCAGTTACAAATTACACTTCCACCAAATCTATATCTATACTCCTCCTTAATGGCACACTATCCCTCTTCCAGTTCTTCTCCTAGCTCCCACTAAATGCATGATGGAGTCACATAGAACGATAGAAACTGCCTCCACTATATGTGTAATCGAAGGGTCGCCACTAATTAATGGCATTACCTCTTCTCCAGTTTATATTTCCTATAAAGCAAGAGGTATCGCACTCACAACCTGTTTTATTTTTTTCCTATAAAGCAAAGAGGCAACCCCTTGCTCCCGCTCATCTTCACTTGCTCCTAGCTATACAGGATGTTCCCAGTCATCTTGAGCTTGATTTGATAGTCGACCAATGCCATCAAATATTGGGGAAGCTAACCTTGGTTGGAAAAAAAATCATTGTTGTTTTCCTCCTTCCCCACAAATGGAAATCGATGCACAAGTTCATGCTCTTCATATGAGTCGATCTAGGTGCAAATGGAGGCCACCGAAGAAGCAGCGTCACATTGCACTCGCTCCCAGCTGTCATTCATAGCCGGATCCCCAAATCCATGCAACTTTTGTTCTGACTACAGTTCAGTTAAATCTCTCTTAGACGTTTGTTCTGAGCAGAACCAAGGGCCTGCTCCTCTCCCTCTCTCACTATGTCTGTGTGTGCAGGTTACGCAAGGAAGCAAATCATTTTCTTTTGGCCTGATTGTCACCAATTCACAACAAAACATACTTTCACATAGCTACAGAACCAAACCAAGCTAGAGGAGAGGATATGACAGCTCTTTGCATTTTTAAAGCAAAAACACTTATGGATTCCTTCCTACGCAATTTCAATTTTAGCAACGCATGGTACATGTTCTTTAATCACATATGCCGATTCTTTTTACTTTTGTCTATCTAAAACCAACAAATATTCTTTAGAAATTTCCGCAGCCTCGCGCGGGGGACCACCTAGTAATTTAAAACAGCAGAAGACAGAAAGATGTTCGGTGACAAATTATAAACACATTCATGTGGGTAACTCGTGATGTGGAAAAAAAAATTCCTATCATATTGTCAAGTGCTACATTTATAAGACTAAAATCTTTTTCTTCATTGGGCATAATGACTGATTGAGGACACACGAATTTAGGAAGGCAGCAAGACTAGTACATGTCATGTTTGTGTTTTTTCCATCGTACACGTGCACGAGTCTAAAAACATCAAATAAAAAAGAACAGAGACAATTATATATACCACATCTCCTGCTGGGAACAAGCCTCTAAAAGCAGCCATTTCAGGAAATGTGCACAAAAAAATATATTTCACTTAGCTTCTCCTATTAGTATATAAGTCAGCATCAGTACTCAGGTCTTGTATTCCTGGTGATATGGACTAGCGCATATCAAAGGGATCAAAAGCTATATAGTATGCCATGCAATTGAAATCAAAGATATTTTTACGTTTCATCTTTTAGTTGAGGCATGCCTGAAGCTTTCTGGTTGGTTATAGTCTTATAGGAGTGAATAAAAAATATTAACTCTGTCAGGCATCAATCAAATAATACCATTCTCAATTTTTACTACACTTTGCAGCATGACCTCCATTTTCTTCTTCATCTCATTATTGTCATCCATTAGAGGCACCACAAGAGTCAGCTCCCTGTAAATATCACGTACAAAAGCACAGATAGTTTTTGCATATTCAACTTCCCCATCAGATATACGGCCTATTGCGAGCCTCATAAGCTCTCCTGACAAATCAGCAACCTAAGACATGGAAAATGCAGAACTGTTAATGGCTTCAAACAAAACAATATTTATAGACATTGAGAATTGAATTATAGATGTACAGTGTATTTACCCCTAAAAGATAGTCAAGCACATTTAACTGTAAGGGCTCAACAGATTTATCACTTAGTGCTAGTAAAGAATCATTAATTTCAGCAAGACTTAATAGAGTGCCAGTCTTGCAAAATCTACACAGTGTTGCAGCTTCAACATATTCTTGTACCTGCAATGGTCAAGAGCAAACATATCAGATCTATTACAATTTAGAGAAAAGTAAAGTGCACCGCAGGTCCTCCAACTTAGCTCGGGGTGTCATCTACGTCCCCAAACTTAAAAATGTACATCCAGGTCCCTAAACTTACTAACTGTGTCATGAGGTCCAAATCGCCATAACTTGTGTTAATCCGCCCACGTCCACGTGGCAAGCTGATTACGGGATGATGGGGCACCGACATGTGTCCACATGCCGGTAGGGGAGAGAGATGAGCCCGGCATGTGGGCTCCACATTTTTGTGCCATGTCATCGTGCAATCAACTTGCCACGCAGGCGATTTGATTCTAGTTTTGGTGATTTGGACCTCACACAACACGATTAGTAAGTTTAGGGACCTGAATGTGCATCATGGAAGGACCGGCGGTGCATTTGATTCTACAATTTATAAACAAATGTAGAAGAGTAAGATTGGTACTAACACCAAAGGTGTAGGCTCTTCTGAGCTTCCAGAAGTCAGTTCCTTGTAATTCTTTTACTAGTTTTGCAATGTATTGATTAACCACTGCAGCAAGATCATTTTCTGCCTTGGAGAGAACTTCGTCCCTGTTAACTTTTGTGATTCTGAAACAAATCAACAGTATATGAAGGCATATGAACTCTACAGCAAAGAAACCAGTAAAACAGTTGGACTATTCGGTTATGAAGCCATGATAAAGAAGCTTCTTGGTATGGTATCAGCACTCAGAAACATAGACACTCAATATTTAAGGACACTTGCACATGGCCAACTCATTTGTTACAGCTGGTCTTTTTAGTATAGCATCAAACGATTCACATTCTCACAGGCATTACAATTAACGGAAACATGCTGTCTAGTGAAAGTTGACTTTAAACAGAAATTGATTTTGATCATCAACATGAGAAAAACAAATGATCCAAACAGCTTAACTAATGTATATTTCTTGATTGTACACACAGTAAGACTTAGCAGCATGGGATAGTTTTTTGTAAACCCATGTTTTTACAGTGAGGCAAAAAAATCCAACTGGTATATAGACATACGGAACGGGAACAACTCCGATGATGTGTTGCCACATGTTTAGGTGCTACTGTGCTACCAATGAACGGTAGCACCACTAAAAAGTGCAACAAAAATTTCTATCAGCTATCTGAATGAATAGATTTTAAGTTGTACTAATTATCGGGGAATTAAGTTGATGAGCCATACTATGGAGCTATGGGAGAGAGTTATCGAGCATCGCTTGAGAGCAATAACGCGGGTCTCTGTGAACCAATTTGGTTTCATGCCCGGAAGGTCAACCATGTAAGCCATTTTCTTAATAAGACAAGTTATGGAGCGGTATAGGGAGAAGAAGAAGGACATACACATGGTTTTTATTGACTTGGAGAAAGCTTATGATAAAATACCAAGGAATGTTATGTGGTGGGCTTTGGACAAACATAAAGTCCCAACGAAATACGTCGGGCTCATTAAGGACATGTACAACAATGTTGTGACTAGAGTTCGAACAAGTGATGGAGACACGGATGACTTCCCGATTAGGATAGGACTACATCAAGGGTCAGCTTTGAGCCCTTATTTGTTTGCTTTAGTGATGGATGAGGTCACAAGGGACATACAAGGGGACATCCCTTGGTGTATGCTTTTCGCGGACGATGTAGTGCTAGTTGATGAAAGCCGGACAGGAGTGAATCAGAAACTGGAGTTATGGCGGGAGACTTTGGAGTCCAAAGGTTTTAGACTCAGCAGAACTAAAACTGAGTATATGAGATGTGACTTCGGCACTACTACTCGGGAGGAGGAAGATGTTAGTTTGGAAGGTCAAGTAGTGCCTAGGAAGGATACCTTTCGATATTTAGGATCAATGCTACAGAGGGACGGGGACATTGATGAAGATGTTAGCCATAGAATCAAAGCAGGGTGGATGAAGTGGCGGCAAGCGTCTGGTGTCCTATGTGACAAAAGGGTACCACAGAAGCTAAAAGGCAAGTTTTATAGGACGGCGATTAGACCTGCTATGTTGTATGGTGTAGAATGTTGGCCTACGAAAAGACGACATGTTCAACAGCTAAGTGTCGCGGAAATGCGTATGTTGCGTTGGATTTGCGGTCATACAAGAAGGGATCGAGTTCGGAACGATGATATACGTGATAGATTAGGGGTAGCGCCAATTGAAGAAAAGCTTGTCCAACACCGGTTGAGATGGTTTGGACATGTGCAACGGAGACCCCCAGAGGCACCGGTGCGTAGTGGCATCCTAAGCCAGGATAGTAACGTGAAGAGAGGCAGAGGAAGACCGAAGTTGACTTGGGTAGAGGCAATAAAAGGAGACTTGAAAGGATGGAATATACCCAAAGACTTAGCCTTAGATAGGAGTGCTTGGAAGACAGCTATTCACGTGCCTGAACCTTGATTGCTTCTGATGGGTTTCAACTCTAGCCTACCCCAACTTGTTTGGGACTTAAAGGCTTTGTTGTTGTTGTTGTTGTTGTTGTTGTTGTAACATCATGCTAAATTTGAGGTTGAACAAAAACATTTGCAAGGAGAAAAGAAAAAGATAAATCAGCTTGTGAATAGTGGTGAATTGTGGGTTCAGATATGAACAGTTGCACCCTCAAGCTGCAACTATTTACATGCTGATTTCTCTTTCTCCACATGCACAAAATTTTATTCAACCTCAAACTTTGCATGATTGTTGTTGATGATATGATATGTCCATTCACATTTTTTGTAGATTTTTTATGCCAGGTGCTACCATGCAAGTGTGATAACAAGATATACCTATTCATTAACAAGGTTCAGAGTGACCAAGTGACTAGACAATCAGAATCTCTGCCTACAAAACTTACATAAAACTTCTTTACTTTTTTTCACACAAAACACTGAAACGCGGACAGTATAATGTTTAATGCTCAAATTGAGTAATGGCATGGAGAGATCTATGGTTCTGAGGATCACAGTCTGCCATTAAAAAGTATGTCCTTTTCTTGTCCTTTTTTTTGCAAAATATAAAATAATGCAGCGGCACAGTTGCTAAATGTTGAAATCAAGCAGAGGTACAAAGCCCTATACTGCTTACCTGTGGACCTGAAAGATGACCTTTTTGCTGTTCATTGTCACATCCCGACTAGCTTTCACAAGCCTCTCTCTCTTGTCATTCTACAGTAAACAGAGAGAAAATATAAAAAACATTGATAATTTACACAATATTGTCAAACATACTATGTGATAATGATTTCAGATTGTAAAAGGAGGAAAGGCTTTGACAAACTATAAAACTAGTGTGACGATGCCAGGTGCTCGAAACACTTTAATCAAATTTAAAGGAAAGCTAACCAAATTTGTAGCATATGGTTGAAGTGGCTTTGAAGAGTTAAAGACTTGGTCTCATATAAATTAAATGCAATGAACTCGGATAAGAGGATATTTGCAGAAGCGGCAATGTTGAAATATATTTTGCAGCCATACGCATGGTCAAGTACAAGCATAATTATAAATCACCTATATTGTGACTCGTCTGTGTGTGAAAACAACATGCTAAACAAAGTTTGACTTCAATCAGGAGATATCATGGCTGACATCGCCTGCAGAATACAGTATATCTTGGGAGGAATTTGGTGTCAACTCTAGACGAATAATTGTATCCAGTGAACCATAGTTCTCGCAAAGGTGCTGTATGCCTAACTAAATAGGGGATCGACTGCAGGTTGGCCTGACGCAAATGAATTATGTGCCCGCAAGGTCAGCACACTTGCCTCTCAGAAATATTCTCATTCAACAACATTGATTTAACCTGAACTCCAATGTGATCCTGCCAATATCAGTTAAGTGGACGCCTAATCCAAAATCTGGATTCGTACTAATTCCTCCAAACACCTAGCGCGCGCACATTAGGCCCTGGCAGCTCATTTCTCGCACCACCCTACAAACCTATACGATAACCCCTACTCTTTGAGCGCATCGCGCGGGACAAAAAACTCGAGAAGCGAAAGCTTCTCGCTTAACACAAAAGCGGAGGAGCGACACATAGACGGGCGCCGTACCAGGGCGTTGAGGTACTCGGCGTGCTTGGCGAACTCCGCCTTCATCGTGGGGCAGCCCCTGGCGGCTGGAGGATCCGCCGCCGCCGCGACGTCTGTGGCCATCGCCCTGAACCTCTTGGGCGCCGACCCGGAGAGGGGAGCTGGAGAGAGCAGAGAAAAAAGTGAGTGCGCGGAGAAGTGGGGGCGAGGGAGGGGGACGAGATGGAGCAGGAATGACGTTGGGGTTTCAGAGGTCAAGAAGACATACGCGAGGGATTGGGGCGCGGGAGGGTTTTACCAGGTTGCTGGGGCGCCGCCATGGAGAGGAAGGAGGGGAAGCGCGGGTGGCGGCCGAAGCGGTGGCAGACGCGCAGAAGCACCATCTGGCTTGGCCCAATTGTGAAATTTTAAGGGGACAATTTCACATTACAACTTGGTAAGTACGGATTCGTAAGAGAACAAGCAAGAGGTAGGGATCACTTGTCTCGCTAATTTAGGACTTTATCCGTAATTTTATTTATCTTCTTTCTGATCTTGATCACCAAATAATTTATGTCTTCCGATTTCTGCGAAGACCGGCCTTGTGGAGACTAATGGCTTGGAGCTTGACGTTTGGACGGTAGGAGGGATAGGGTAAGGGTTATGGACCAGGAAATATAGAGCTGGTTGCTGAGGGTTATGGACCGAGAAATAAGGTGGCGTTTGGTTCATAGATAAGGGGGTGTGATAGGGATATCATAACCCAATAGCAGCATAACCCATGTTTGGTTCATTGGTTTGGGATACAGTGGGGGTTTGAGTTTGGGATAGGATGGCCTCTCATCCCACCAAATCTATCCAAGTGGGGAGGGTGGGTTACGAAAGGGATAGCACTGTAGCGACGAGATTGGAGCAGCGAGGTGAGCCAAGAACCACAGGCGAGCAGCTCGATTCCGACGGGGTGGAGATCGATCTGGCGACTTACAGCTCGATCCCGGCTCAAGTTGGCATATAACGTCGCCGGCGCCGGCACCACGCTGCCTGACGTGCGGAGCAGCAACCGTTGCCGCCACCACGGAGAGGGACGCCATGGCGCTGTCCATTTGCTCTCAGGAGATCGATTGGGGGTGTTGGTGGCTAGTTCGCAGCTGCCTGGATGAGCACCGTCGACCCCGACCCGGCTGCCCGCGAGAAGTTGTGGCCGGAGAGGATTGCGCAAGCCGCTGCTGCTACGCGGATTGGCAGCTTGGAGAGGGGCTTGGATGGCGACGACAGATGGCAGATGGGACCTGGGACAAGGAGCTCGCGGGCGGCAGTGGGCTTGCTGCCTGGAGCGTGAGCGGCAGCGACGGCGATGGCTCCTACGAGCGTGAATGGCGATGGCGGGTGGGAGGCTGGGGAGATTTGGGAGTCGAGAGAGTCATGGGCTCACTGCCTCATAGGCCACGGTTTGCATTTTTAATAGAGAAGGCGTGGGTCCCACTTCTAAACCCAAACCCATACCCAATCTCATCCAAACAAAGGATTTGCCTTCCAACCTTTATTTCCACGTCCATAACCAGCTCTATATTTCTCGGTCCATAACCCTTACCCTATCCCTCCTACCATCCAAACACCACCTAAAGGTTGGAAGGCAAATCCTTTGTTTGGGAGAGATTGGGTATGTGTCGGTGCGAAAAGTAACCAACAAGTAAATATTTGTAGTTTTGCCGTGCGTTATGATCGGATGTGGCCTAGCACTCAATGACACAGGATTTATACTGGTTCAGACAATAGGCCCTACATCTAGTTGAGGTCGGTCGGTGACTTTATTCCTGAGCCCAGGTGCTCAAAGTTTGCTGTGGGATTACAAATGAGTAAGGAATGAGAAAGAGAAGTGTTAGAAGCCTGGTCGGACTCTGAATCTAGTGGAAGAGAGTGACGGATGTTCAAACGTGCGCTAAGTATTGAAACGTATGCTCTGTGTGTCCGAGCTTATCAGCTGTTGAGAGCGTGTAGACTGTGTAGCTGTCGAGTCCTAGAGCTATTGAGCTGTCGAGCCGACCAGTCTTGGGAGGGCTTTTAGGAGAGAGCTCATTTCCTTTTATAGTTGAAGGGGATGGCCTTACAAGTCAGAGAAAAAGAGAGTGTATACATGTGCTGCCTAGTCTTGTTGCCCACACCATTGGGTACGAGATGGTCGTCGGCGCCCACAATACTGTTTATGTTCAGACACATCTGGCAAGCTCTACCATGTTCGTCTGGTACGGCAAACGACGGTGCCAACAATATTGTTTATACTCTGACGCGTCTGGCAGGCTCTACCGTGTTCGCCTGACATGTCTCGATGGCACCATCCTACAGGTGCGCAGGGCATGGCAGGGTACAGTCCTCAGTATTGCGGTTGACTTGAGCGCCTTACCTTATCTGCTCCTTCTGCTCCCTAGGCCCACACCGAGCGGGTGTCACCGGTCAGTCGTTCCTAGTTGGTCCCAACCGTGTCGGTCGAGAAAGAGCAACGAGCAGAGGTCCAGCGTATCCTCAGTCAGAGAAGGGGGTCAGAGTCGGACTGTGGTCCCACCTTGGCCAGGTCTTCCGGTCGGGGACCAGATCGTTGTCTCGGCCTGTCATTATGTATCTGGGCTGGCCCAGGCACGTGCTGTCACTGCGCCGCCTGCTGGACCAGGTTTTATAGGGAAGCGGGTCCATTGGGGACCTCAGGTTTATGAACCCGACATGAGTCCCCGAGCCCCTTTGGGACTTCTATGAAGCCGGAGCTTTCAGAGGTAGGAAGTCATCACACCAGCATAGGCAAAATCCAATGAATGCCATTGTGCTAATGAAAATGGTGATCAAACTTCAATTGCAACTGTGAACATGGGCGGTTCACACATGTTTCGCGTGATATTTGTAAAAGCCAGGGGCTTGTGTTTTTAGCTTAATGAAAGCTTGAATTTGCTTTGTAATTTTTGTACCCACCGTGACATGGAGGCGGGCTGTTATTAGAACTTCGGTGTTTTTCCCCCTCGGTTTAGTGTACGACGTAGGGTAACCGAGTAGGATTTAGGCACCCAGCCTCCATGTGGAGGACTGGCAAAAGTCGCAGAGGCGCGTAGAGTGGATAAGGGTGCTCAGCCTCCGTGGGGAGGACTGGCGAAGGCCGCGGAGGCACTCCGGAGGGATATTGGCGCCCAGATCCTGAGGAGAAGACTCGCTGGTAATCCATTTTCCGTAGGGTGCACGCGAGCGCACCCGATGGGTGTATGGTAGTGGGTCACTGTCAGACAAGACGGAACCCACGTTGAAAGGTCCTAATGGCTAGAGGGGGGGGTGAATAGCCTATTAAAAAATTTCTACAACAACACTTAACAAACCGGTTAGACAATTATGAGGCGAAGCAAGTGTTGTGCTAGCCTACTAAAAAATCAAGCCACCTACCATAATTCTAGTTTCTATAGTTTCTTTTCACACAATGGCTATGTCACTACACTAAGTTAGTGTGCTCTCAAAGACTAACTAAAGAACCACACTAACCAAACTAGCAAGCTCTCACAACTAGCTACACTAAAGAGCTTGATAACTAGTTTGCGGTAATGTAAAGAGAGAGAGAGAGAGTAAGATGGTTATACCGCCATGTCGAGGAATGAACCAATCAATCACAAGAATCAATATCAATGAAGACCAATCACCTCGGAATCAAATAATGACACAATGGTTTTTTACCGAGGTTCACTTGCTTGCCGGCAAGCTAGTTCTCGTTGTGGCGATTCACTCACTTGGAGGTTCACGCGCTAATTGGCATCACACGCCAAATCCTCAATAGGGTGCCACACAACCAACACAAGATGAGGATCACACAAGCCACGAGCAATTTACTAGAGTACCTTTTGGCTCTCCGCCGGGGAAAGATCAAGAACCTCTCAAAATCACCATGATCGAAGCCAGAGACAATCATCAACCTCCGCTCGATGATCCTCGCTGCTCCAAGCCGTCTAGGTGGCGGCAACCACCAAGAGTAACAAGCGAATCCCGCAGCGAAACACGAACACCAAGTGCCTCTAGATGCAAACACTCAAGCAATGCACTTGGATTCACTCCCAAACTCACAAAGATAATGAATCTATGATGAAGATGAGTGGGAGGGCTTTGGCTAAGCTCACAAGGTTGCTATGTCATTGCAAAATGGCCAAGAGAGTGAGCTAGAGCCAGCCATGGGGCTTAAATAGAAGCCCCCATGAAATAGAGCCGTTGTACCCCTTCACTGGGCACAACACGGGGTGACTGAACGCTCCGGTCAGATTGACCGGACGTACCCTGCCAGCGTCCGGTCAATGGATGGCTACCACGCCATCCCTCTCTTCAAATACTAAGCGCCCGATTCCAACGGTCAAGTGATGACCGGACGCAGCACAGTGCCACGACCAGACGTAGGACCCCAGCGTCCGGTCACTTCCAGTATGGTTCCAGCTGCGACCGAACACGTTAGTTGGATCACGACCGGACGCAGGACCCTAGCGACCGTTCACTTCCAATAAGCCTCCACTCGCGACCGGACGCGTCCGGTCATGCCCGACTGGACTCACCCAGCGTTCGGTCACTCACTGTCTCCTTTGTGTGCTGCCACGTCAGCAGGACCGGACGCAGCCAGCCAGCATCTGGTCACGAAGTGACCCAGCATTCGGTCGAAGACCGACACTAGTGTCTTCACTGCTTTCACTGACCGAACGCTCTGGTCCAGTTGAGACTAGCGTTCGGTGCACTCTATGAAACCCTGTCTTTTTTGTACAGGGCGCCGGTGGCACCGTCGGATTATCCACACTCTACGGACGGACACTCCACCGGTGAAGTTTTGAACCCTTGCTCAAATGTGCCAACCACCAAGTGTATCACCTTGTGCACATGTGTTAGCATATTTTCACAAACATTTTCAAGGGTGTTAGCACTCTACTAGATCCTAAATGCATATGCAATGAGTTAGAGCATCTAGTGGCACTTTGATAACCGCATTTCGATACGAGTTTCACCCCTCTTAATAGTATGGCTATCAAACCTAAATGTGATCACACTCGCTAAGTGTCTTGATCACTGAAACGAAAAGACTCCTTCCACTTCTACCTTTGCCTTGAGCCTTTTATTTTTCTTTTACTTCTTTTCCAAGTCCAAGCACTTGATCATCACCATGGCAACACCATCATCATGTCATGATCTTCATTTGCTTCACCACTTGGAGTAGTGCTACCTATCTCATAATCACTTTGATAAACTAGGTTAGCACTTAGGGTTTCATCAATTCACCAAAACCAAACTAGAGCTTTCAATCTCCCCCTTTTTGGTAATTGATGACACCCTTACACAATGATATGAATTGAAATTTAATTGAATCCATGTTGCTTGCCCAAGCATATTTACCATGTGTAAAAGGATATGGACAAGTTTCATGAATCCCAAATGGTAGCAATTGCTCCCCCTATATATGTGCTAAGAGTTTAGATTGTAGCTTGCACATATGCTTAGATAGGAAATATAGGAGACAATGTCTACCAAATGATGCTAAGGTATAAAAGATAGACCTTTGAAGCGTGATACCAATCGGAGTGCACCATCCTTAGCACCATGGTTAGCTCGATACCACTTGGAAATAAAATTACTAGATAACCTATGCATGCTAGTTTTTTTATTTCATCATTCAAACCTACAACTAGCATACACCACACAAGCATGGATATTAAAATTTAAAACTTGTGCCATGCAAGCAAACATATGAAATGCACATTTAAATGCACCATACAAGTTCATGAGCTTGCTCCCCCTACTTGTGTGCTCAAAATTTTAATTGACCCCCTTCCTTTGTCATATCTCTCCCCTATGTCAAATTATCCCCCTATCACTTATATCTTTATTTCTTTCCCCCTTTGTTGTCTTTTCACTATCTTAATACATTATTTCTATTTCTCCCCATAGCACTAATATCTTTGTTTTTCTCTCCCTTTGTCATCAATGACCATAAAGGTTCAAAATGTAGATAGGTTGAGAGTATCAATGGCAATCAATGGGGCGAGGATCATTTTCCCAAATTTGGTTCAATCTAGAATACTTGCCAAAGACATTTAAC